GGCCTCGGACAGCGGGAGAGGAGAGGAGGGGCCGGGGAGCGGGCCGAGGGCGGCCCCTGCGGTCGGGAGGCGGAGAAAGAGGCGGAGAAAGCGGGACCTCGGCGACGCTAGAGGAAAGCCGTGGGAGGGCAGGAGTGGGAAGGACGCGGTCGGGCTCCGGGTCGGGCTCCGCCGGGAGGAGGGGAAGCCGAGGGGGCGGCGGCGGAGCGCGCGGCGGCACAGGTACTTGGAGAAGTACCGGGAGGGGTCCCAGGAGCGCTACCGCAGAAGGTCCGAGCGCAGGACCCCGGGCGCGGGGCGGGAGGGCCAGGACCTGGTCCACTGCAAGTACGAGCTAGAGAGAAAGGCCCACTGGCTGAGGAGCCCCGAGCTCGTGGGGTCCGGGAAGGAGGAGAAGGAGGAGGTCTGCAGATGGGAGGCTGACCTCATCCAAGTCCAGGTGTCGGAGCAGCAGTTCCGGACTCCCCGGATCAGATTCGGAGTGTGCCCCAGATCTCACCGCCCGTCTCAGCTGTCCGCCACCCGCTGCATTTCTGGCATCAGTGCCATTAACGAACTGGCCAAGATGGGCGACCCTGATCTCCTGGAAATGGTGGAGGAACAAGGTAGGAACCCTCCGAGAGGCGCCGAGGAAAGATCTGGCCGCACGCTTGGACCCCGCCATACCTGGCTCAGGGACCGGGGGACGTTGACGGTGCCATGGTCTGAGTCCCGGGGACGTTCGCAGAGCGAGACTGGGACCGCGGAATGGACAGTCCCAGTGGGGTGGGTGGAACGGGTTACAGCGCCCCACGACTTCTACTGCTTCTCCCCTGCTTTGGGGGCCTGTGTCCGGTGATCGCTGTGGTCCAGCTGCACCCCTACTTGCTGCCCTGGACACTGTGAAGCAGCTGAGTGATTACAGGAGGCGAGGCCAGCACGCGGGCACGTGCTCTTCCATGCCCGGGCCTCCGAACCCACGGTTTCCCAAAAGCCGCCGCGGCTTAGTGCAGGACGCGGTCCCACGTGCAGGGACTCTGCAGTTGTTGACCATGCTTTGAGATGTGTAATTATGAGAGGGGCGGACGCTGAGGTCTTCCAGCCTGAGATTTGGATGCATTTCTGGAACGCAGCTGTTTTTACAAAATAGCTTTCTTGAATCTTCAGCGCCACTGCAAAATATGGGTCTGTTGTTTGCTAAGGCCTTCGCACAAATTTTGTGGTTTTACAAGTACATTTTTCTAAAATGCCCGTATTTTCTGTTCAGTTTTCAAGATCTCAGCTTCCTCCATAACACAGTATTGTCATGTCTTGTTTAGTATTAGATCAAACCTGGAAACAGTTTTTTAAAAGTGATAAAGATCTAAGGATAGTTCCTAACCTGTTGTGTGTTATTTCACTTTCCCCACCTTTTTAACATCTTTGGGATATAGCCTGTTATATCTACCAAAAAGCTTGCCCAGTTAGAGTGGACAGTTCAGTGATTTTTAGTGTATTTACTGAGTTTTGCAACCATTAGTATAATTTTAGAACACTGCATCACCCCAAATAGAAACCTGTTAGGCAGTCTGTCCACTCCTCATTCCTAGCTCAGGGCAGCCAGTAATCAATTATTTACTGTCTCTATCAATATGTCTATTCCAGATACTTCATATAATTAGAATCATGCAGTGTGTGGTCTGTTGTAACTTGCTTCTTTCTCTTAACATGTTTTAACCATGTTCTAGCTTCTGTTGGTGCATCATTCCTTTTAACTGCCAAGTAACTTTCCTTTGTAGAGCTATACCATACCTCATCCACTCACCAATTGGTGGAATTTGAATTATTTACACTTTTTTACTACATGAATAATGCTGCTGCAAAATTCATGTACATGTCTTTGTATGAACATACCTTTTTATTTTTCTTGGGTATATCCCCAGAAATGCAATTGCTGAATCATGTGGTAGCTCTGTATTGAACATTTTGAGAAACAAAACAAAACAATTTTCCAAGTGTCTGCCCTGTTTAACTTTCCCACCAGTAATACGGAAGGGTTCCAGTCTCTCTACATCCTCACTAACTTTTATTATATCTTTTCAGTATAACCATGCTTGCGGTTGTGAAGTGTATCGCAATGAGATTTTGATTTGTATTTCTCCATTGATTAGTGCATTAAGTGTTTTTTTATACGATTATTGGTCATATATCCTCTTCGGAGAAAGGACTATCTAAATTCTTTACCTATTTACAATATTGAGTTGCCTTCCTTTATTAAGTTTTAGTAAGAGTTCTTTATATATTCTGGATAGATACGTGATTTGCAAATATTTTCTTCCATTCCATGGGACATCTTTTCATGTTCTTAATGATGCTTGAAGTGTAGTCTCCTTTATTAAAATCAGAAATAAGGAGAAAATATAATGAAACTATTGAACACATTAAGCTTTGACAAATAGCTCAGTGGAGTAAATAATGTAATACATGTATTTGTTAGGGAAATGTCTGGTATTCAGTGGCAAAATAAGTCAGATAACTTTCAGAAGCTTTAAGTAGGAAATCCCTTTCCACAGTTGCTTGATGGTGTCCTCCTTTACTGAGAATCACTTTCTATTGTATAATTTCAGCAATCCAGAGGTCTCAATAGATTTTTTTTTTTCATTAAAGCACTGGAATTCCTTATAATCAGTCCTTCTGAAGTAAAACTATAAGAAGGGACAAATTTATTCTTCACTGAAGAAGAGTGGAGGGCAAAATGTGTAGTATGGGGCCCAGCAGATGGTGTAGCAGTTATGTTGCCGGACTCTCACATGCCTGATCCCAGTTCAAATCTCAGACCCGGTGGCTTCAAAATCCATAACGAATGTGTGCATGTATGCCCAAGATCCCAGGAGGAGAATGGAGGAGAAAGGATTGTGGCATGGCCATCCATCTTTTTTTTTTTTTTTTTTGAGAGGTTTTTGCTATAGGGCGTGTGCGCTCGCCAGACAGACAGAGAGAGACAGAGAGACAGAAAGCAGGAAATCACCCCCCAGGGGGGATGGCCACGCTGCAATCCCTTCTCCTCCACTCTCCTCTTGGGATCTTGGGCATGCACGCACACGCGCCTGGCGTGAGTTTAAGCCACCGGGTCTGGGACTTGAACCACGGTCGACTATGTGGGAGTCCAGCGACATAGCCATTACGCTAACTGCTGGTCCCTGGCCCTCCATCTTAAGGGGTGATTTCTCAGTTTCCCACTCACTGTCTCTGCCTCTCTCTGTCTCTGGTGAGCACACACATCCTATGGCAAAAATCTCTCTTTTTTAAAAAATGTGTATTATGTAACATTCTCTGCATAATGAATACACAGTTTAGTATAACATTATAGAGATTGACCATCACCTTCTTTCAGTTGTTTGAAATATGATATAATTTAGCCACAAAATGATTTTAACTTACTAGAATGTATACTTAAATTAGTAGCTTAATCGGGACCAGCAGAGGGTGTAATGGCAAAGTCGCTGGACTCCCATGTAGTCGACCACAGTTCAAGTCCTGGACCTGGTGGCTTAAACTCACACCAGGCGTGTGAGTGTGCGTCCCCAAGATCCCAAGAGGAGAAGGGATTGCAACATGGCCATCCTCCCTGGGGCTGATTTCTCACTTTCTGTCTCTCTGTCTCTCTCACTGTCTTCCTGGTGAACCCACACGCCCTGTAGCAAAAATCTCTCAAAAAAAAAAAGAAAAATTAGTAGCTTCATCATGAGGTCCTAAGAAGTATGAGTCTGTCCCAGGAATGCTTTAGATCTTTTCCCAAAATGGTTTGTTTCCTTCTCTTGGCAAAGTCCTTGGTTATTTATTCAGACTCCTTCACGGGATCTAAGCAGTCGCTCTGATTTGGGCAGAAATGGGAGGAAAAGATACTGATGCAGAATACCATGTATTTGATGGCCAGATGTAATGACTGCATGCTACCCAAGTTCCTGTCTGCAGATTGGTTCATGGGCCCAGAACCTCAGCAGCAGAAAGGTGTGGCACTGGTGAGAGCAAATTGGTTCGTTCACTGAAACGACTTTTTTTTTCCTAGATATTTCCTTACATGTCAATTATTTTGCCAGGCTGGTTTTACTGCCCTTTATTGAGATCTCTGTCATTACTAGGGTTGTATGAAAAGTACATTGTAATAAGAATGTGCTTTTATTGTTATTTTTATAAAGAATTATTTATTGTATTATTATTTAATTTGCTCTAGAGCACATGCACTCCCGAGAGAGAGAAAGAGAGAGAGAGGGAAATTGAGAAAGCAAGCTGCCAGGTCTGGGACTTGAACTGCGGTCAGCCATGTAGGAGTCTAACACCTTAACCACCAGATCACCTGCTGGCCCATTGTTGTTATTTTTTAATAGCAACAACCAAATGAATTTTTGGAAGGCTGTGTCCAGATGTTTCCTTCTGGAGTTAAATGACACAGTTACAAAAATAAAAGTGTTGGCTGAAAAAAGGTGGAAAAATTTTAGGTTTCATAGTATTGATTCTGAGTCGTTGGAAAAGTCATGATGTGTTTTTGCGCAGAAGAACAGAAAAATACGTCATGACATTTCTGACCACCCAGTATTTAGGAGGTACTTTTACTCTTGGGTTTTAAAATGAAAACAGATTTTGTAGAGTGAATTTACCCATAGACATAAGCCTTGATACTGTATGTTATCTGGTCCTAAATCACTTTTAATGGTTAAATATGAGAGAGTTAAACGATTGATTTATATGCCATATGATTTCTTCCCAGAGAGAAAGATATTTTGCCTTTTCAACATAATAGTTGATGTACTGTTTCTGGAATTTGTTGCATTTTTCTCTGAATCTGTTGTCATCATGATTGAGCACATAAGCAATCAGCATCTCCAATCGGCTGCTCTACTACCTATTAAAGTGATAGTCCAGTGCCAGAGTGTAATAGAACACTTACATAGTTATGTAAACAAACCAATGCTAATGAAAGATTAATGTTGATGGAATTGAGTCATCGAGTAGTTGATATTGGGAAGGAAGTCTGATTTGAAGTGTTCTTTCCTTGTTTATTTATGATACAGTTAGCATTAGAACACAGTGATGGGGTCAGCATCAGAAAAGGCAGTCTGTAAGTAGAATGGAGTAGCTCGCATCTTCGCAGCTGTGTTCACCGTACTTATCAAAACCACGTGCCCTTTGATACTGTGAATATTTGAATATATTTTATTTTATGCTGCTGGTAAGAGTGTAAACTGAGAAGACCATCTGGTAAAGGCGAGGGCTATTTCTGGGCTCTGATTTTACCGGAGTGTGTATTCTTAGTAAGGTGCTTTCAGAGAGAACTCAAATCTGGGTTTGGTGTTGGCTTTGCTTTTAGCACCTATTTAATGGTCCCCCACAGTGATTTGAAGCAAACCCTGGACATCTGTTTCCAGCCCACCCAAAGAGTATAGTAATTTCCATTCATTTTAGAAGAAGTTGAAGGAATAGCAAGAAGCTGACTTAAGAGTTGTTGGCTTCAAATCGTATCTCTTCAGATAAGCCTCTGTTTGCCAGAGGTTCGGTGATTGTAGGTAGTTACTGCATCTTGTGACTCTGAGTGTGTGAGAAAATGTGAGTCATGGCATGTGGGAACATCTGTTTGTGTGTATGCAAG